TTTTGTGCTTTTCCATCCTGGAAATGAGTAACCTGTTTTCAGTGTTGCAGAATTAACAGGACACGTCATTAGCAGTATCCAAAATGGAAGGATAATGAAAAGAGCATGGCCCTTACCTGATTGCCTGACTGTAATGAAATCTTCAGGTGTACCCTTTCATTGCTCATTGCCATCTGGAAGTCTTTTTGGATGTCTTCCGCTACAAAAAAATCAAACCCTGAACTTTATTGTAAGTTTAAGGTCTCTTTAGTTCCTTTATGTTCAGCAACATTCATTGTGGGAATCTAGACCTCAGTAGTTAATGAAAAACCACTAAGCACAATTTTAAAACGCCATCATAGAAGGGTTTTAAAAGGAAACGGCAGATGGGAGGGGCTTGAAGATTGAGGCCACACCCCTTTCAGCAAAAGACGTCTCTGTGGCGCAATCGGTTAGCGCGTTCGGCTGTTAACCGAAAGGTTGGTGGTTCAAGCCCACCCAGGGACGTTGGATCTTCTGTTTAAGTCATCAGTAACTATATGTCCTTGAAACATTGAAAAGAGGAAAATCTTCTGGCAAACCTTTCCATAACATTGCCATCTTGAAGTCCTTTCGATGCTCTCCTTCACAAAGGTTTTCAAGTCCTTTATGGTCAGCAACATTAATTGTGGGAAACACCACCCCAAGAGGCTCCTGGGCCGTGGAAAACCACTAAGCTCAATTTTAAAATGCCATGATAAAGGTTTCTGCAATATTAACTGAAAGGTTGGTGGTTCAAGCCCACCCAGGGACGTAGGGTCTTCTCTTTAAGTAACCAGTCTTTGAATCAAGAATGGAGAAACCATTGATTCATTCATTGAAAACATTTGGAAAAATCTTGGATACCCACATATGTTTCCATCCTTTTTCATGTGATCATGACTTTGTGGTCAAAGGCACACTGACTCTTAACCACCCTATAAAACTGGATTTAAAACACTGAACTATGAGGGTTCACGTTGACCCCTATGTGAACGTCCATGTGCAGCCCAAACTTTGTGGCTAAGCTGTCCAGACTACAAGCTTAAAGCCTTGATCACGCTCCTGTGCAAAGGTGTATTCTGTTAATTGAGTGTTAAGAATGACCTGAGTTGTGCAGGAAATCCCAACCTCAGCCTTGAGTTCTCCGCTCCGAACAGCTCCCTCTACGTTTAACAGATCTTCACGTCTTTGATCACTGCTCGCAAGTTCTGAGCTTCTGCAACAATGTCAGAGTCTTATTGTGTCAGCACCTCGTGCTTTTAGAAGTTTACGTAGTTATGTAGATGGGGAAGGGGCTAGAAGATTCGGGTATACACCTTTTTCTAGTTCTCAGGGTCGCTCAGCTCCCGTGGACGCTCTGCAAAGCCTCCAGTGAAAGTAGCTCCTCTGTGGCAATCGGTTTAAGCGGAGTTCGGACTGTTAACCGAAAGGTTGGTGATTCAC